TTACAAATTATTATTAAATTGAAACATTCTCGAACAAGAAATTAAGATGAAATAAAAAAAAAAGGTATTATAATACATACCACGGTCTCATCTTCAAGTAATAATTGATCATATTCGGAAATGGCAACTAAGAACACTATGGCAGTTACATTCTCAAAACAATGAATCCATTTCTTACGCTCTGAACGTTGACCACCAACATCGAACATACGATAAGTTAGTTCACCAATGAAGAATGTAGTTTCAGTAATACCGGTGGTCTTTACACGCGACCGTAATACATCTTGATTGGTTGGGACATAATTGGTCTGAGAAATTCGATCAATTGAATCAAAGTAACTAAAATAAAATGAATTATATTATTAATTATATTATTAATTACATCAAATATTATTAATTTCCAAACATTAATTTCATTTAAACTTTGAATGTGAAAAACCTACTATTTAGCAGAATCATTTAATTGGTATTCCCTGGATCGATTAAAGCACTCTTGTACACCACCATCAGCCCATAGAACTTTGATAGCATGTGAAACATTAGAAGGCAAATGATCACCTTCTATTTGATTTGGTAGACCAAGAATTATCAATGACTGTTTCTTAGCATCTTCGCTGCGAAACGGAATGTTCATCATTTCCATAGCGTCCAATATGACTCGCATAGATTGGACAGTATTTGAAAAGATGATTTCTTTAAATGAATCTCGTTCTTCATCCGAATAACCACCCTCATGAATAAGCTTCATTTGCTTAAGAATGGTTGATTTTCCAGACTCTCCAGCGCCTATTAATTAATAAGGTTGTTTTAGTATTGACTGCATTTTAACTGTATTAACACTAAGTTATTATGAAGTTATACGAGAATACTATTGATTTTCAACTCGTATAATAACACCGCGATTAAGACTTCGTAAATTCCACTTTAAATCTTACCTAATAGAAGCATTTTAATTTCATTTCGCATTAACATCTTGTCTTTCTTGAGCTGATTATCAATCTCATCGTTCTTCCTCTTCCCCTCTTGATCTTCTGCACTAAGGCAGCAACCCATTTTGTAACTCTGTAGTTGTAGTAGTAATTAGAGGTAGTGACAATAATAATAATAGGGGTGAAAAGGAAGGTAGTGCGATAAAGTTTTTAATGTTTAGTCTTTTTTTTTTAATTTTTTTTTTTTTCTATTATATTATTCTATAAAAAAAAAAAAAGAAATAGGTCGAAAGAGAGTCGTTTCTAAGACGACATAGAAAAGATTGAAAAACAAAACTTTGGTAATAATAATAGTAATAGAAAAAAAAAAAAAAAGTGTCGATGAAAAAAAAGGTAAGTCTACTAGCCTACTACAAAGATACAAAAGTAGACTTTAAAAGAATAGGGGACATTTTTGAAGTACCAAGGCCTTTTAAAAGAAGGTATAAAACTAAAAAAAGAAAGTTGCAATACTCTTGTAATTAATTGGATGAACACAAACAATCATGTAAGAGATATTCTTTTCAATACTAAATTTAATGTGGGCCCACCGTTATCATCTCAAAGGTTACTCTGACAATGAATTTTAAGCTATGCGGGGTATTCCAAATAAGAACGTGTGCATATTTAATCTTGTTAATTCTGTAATTACTAACGCTAAAAAGCAAAAAGATAAATATAGAATGCCTTGTAAAGCAATGAATGCGGTTACATCTGATCGACACAAATAATATAGATTATTACAGAAATTATATAAGAGATTATACAGCTATAACAAAGATTATAACAGAAAACTGTAACATAAATTATAACGACTTTAAAGTTCTTGGTATTATGAAACCATTAAAATAATAATAATAATAATAATAATCATTATGTACAGTATTATTTGATTATCATTTCGAGAATTTTTTTTTCGATTAATAAATTACAAATTTCCTTGTTCGGAAATTCACAAT